ATTTACTGCTTTCCAGACGCTGAGACCCCATACAAGGGAAGCGCCCAACTGGGACTTGTCGGCTGTGTTGTCCGCTCTAAGCAGACCGCCCATTGAGCCTCTCCGATCAGCGCCACTCAAATTTTTGACGTGGAAAATAGTCTTCCTACTGGCCCTTGCCTCAGGCAGGCATCGGCCAGAGCTGGGGGCATTGTCCTTCTCGGATGATGTACCGCCGTTATGGACAATCAAGTTGTGCTAAAGACACAAATCGGGTTTCTCTCCTAGAACCAAATCCCAGGACACGGTCCTCACCTGATAGACATCCCCCGGCTGTCAAATTTTGTCTGCCCGGAGGGTCATGAGGAATTGCTTCTCTACCCGGTTCGAGCACAGAGTTGCCACCAAACCGTACTAGAATTTGGAACGGGGTGCCAAGCACACATCTTTGTGTTACGGCCCAGGCAGGCAGGATAGGCCGGCCTCCCCAACTACCATAACCAGGTGGTTTACTGCGACTGTATTAGAGGTCTAATACTTTATATTCCTCGACACGGAACTTGCAGAGACACCAAGTACGAGCGCATGAGGTCTGTGCGATGGCTAACTCGCTAGTGCTAGCGTCAGCCCCCCCCTCAAGCACACATGGAGGGCAGGCTTCTGGAGAACGCAGAACGTCTTTATCAACTACCATCTAGGAGACACTGAATCCATTGATAAGGGTCTCTCTAGGTTGGATCCTGTTGTAGCGTGTCAGTCTTGGTTTGCTGACCCAGCCCGAACTGATTAATGCCTACAGTTCAAAATAGTCATTTTGACTGACCGGAGTCTATGGTGGGTATGAACTACAGTACAGTTCTCGCGGAAGCTTTGGCTTCACTTCAGCTTCACCTTCGCTTCAGCATCGCATCATTATGGCATTGTTATGGCTTCAGCATCGCATCAATGTCGCGACATTAAAAAGTTAAGCGGTTATCGCTTCGCTTCATTGTGGCCTCATTATGGCGACAATTTGGCATCAGCATCGCTTCATCAAACAAAGAAGTACAGAACTACTCTCGCCCGCTTCCGCTTTTCAATCGCGCGCCTTTGCGACCGCTTGTTGAAGTTCCGCTTTATTTTCGACTGTGCAAAACTTCGGACTACTAAAAATTTTCTGGTTTTCATAGATCACGGTTACTAGTTTAGTAACCGTGCATAGATGTTGAACAACTGTCAAAAGTTCAAATACTTTTTGTTTTAACTATCTATAATTATATGCACGCAATCTGACCCTTTGACCTAGATTTGGCTGGGATTGACTATTTTATTTTAAACAATATTCTGACGTGACGCACTGCTACAAAATGTATTTCAAC